CGCCCCCCCCGCGCGCCACGTCGAAGGCCCCGTCACTTCCCGACACCGATCGGCCACGTGGCAGGGAGGGGGGCTGCGTGACCCGTTAAGGTAAAAGCGGGTCACAGCAGCACCTGTCACCCGCCCGCCGCCGCCCGCCCTGCAGGGAGACACTGAGGGGCCACAGAAACGGGCTCGGGGCTCAGTCTCTGCTGCTTTCTCACGAGTGACTACACTGAGTCTCAGAAACTCAGGACAGGCAGCCGTCAGGGCCACACGGTGGTCTGAGCGTCACTGCCCCTGTGGTCAGTGCTCAGCATCTGCCCGTCCCGCCTCCACACAGGCTCTGCCTCTGCAGGTCTCAGAAGGAGCTGTCCACGCTGCAGGGACCAGGGACCTGGGCCCCACGCACCTGCCAGGTCGCGGGCGTATTGCTCTCGCGAGCGGTCCATCTGGCACTTGTGGCTGGCCAGCACCTTCTTCACCAGGTCCAGCATGCCAAAGTTCTGCACGACATTGTTGAGCAGGATGGCGTCTGAGGGGCGAGACGGCTGTGGTGAGGACGGCCAGGTCGCAGAATGTGCGAGGCCTGCTCCCCGCCAGCTTGGCCTCGCTGCCAGTGCCCAACCCACAGCCCGGGAGGGCTGGAGGGAGCAGGGCTCGCTGCCCACCCCTGCAGAAGCAGCTGGGCTCAGCCTGGAGCCACAGGGAGCAGGCTGCACCCTCTGGTCCTGAAGGAGCCAAGCACCCCGGCCTGGCAACAGCGGAAGAGGCCCCAAGGGCCTGTCTCACCTCGGAGCTGCAGGGGCGGGTCCTGGACCCTCTGCTGCAGGCCCTTCATGGTCTCCACTAGCTCCTGGTGGAACTCCTGGATGACCTCGTCCAGCAGGCCAGCATCCTTGAGCCCTCGCCAGAAGGCAAAGGTGTCATCTGTGGGAGAAGGGAGAGGCTCAGGGAGCAGGAAGTCCTGCCCGGCCCGCCACGGGCTTCTCACCACAGGGAGCAGAGAACTGCCGGGGGCCAGAGCTCGGGGGCCAGCAATGCCCCCGCCGAGCTGAGCCCGAGCAGGCCGGCGATCGGCCAGGCCGGACGAGCTCTTGCACTGCCCCTTCTTACACGAGGACCCGGCCAGGCCCCCGCCAAGGAGCCGCCCGCGAGAAAGCCCGCACCTCCAACAGTCGTGGTCCAGTCACTGGGGTCCTCGCACGTCTCGATGGTGATGGTTGCGGAAGACCCGTTCACTGCAACCGAGATACAGCGGTGAGCATCGCGGCCGGCTGGCCCGGGCCCTCCCCGGCACCGGTGCAGGCCTCCGTGGCCCCAGCCAGGACCAGCGCACGTGCTCGTCACGTCCTGAACTGACTTAACCGATGGACCACAGGCATCTCAAACACGCACGAGGAAACTAACACAGCCCCGAGCCCAGCCCCCGGTTCCGAGCGTTCAGTGCTGCGCTCTGCTCGTCAGCTGGACGTCAGGGCCATGGGCCACCTTTCCGCCTGGCTGGCACCCCACGTGCCAGAGCCTGGGGTCCCTGCTGCTCACGGGGTCTGCGCCCTGGGTTTCTCCCCCTTCTCACGTCTGTCTCGTCCACAGCACTGTACGCCTCAGTGTCTGTTTCTAATCGTCTAAAGAGGTGGGACTTCAGAAAGGCATAAGCTGTCACTCAGGCTCCAGTGCCTGCAGCACACAATTGTGAATAAAGTGGCACCTGGCCATTTGTAGCTGTTCTTGATAGAGACCTGGCTTCACAGAGACCTGGCTGAAAAACAAGCCTTGTGACCGGGTGACGTCTGCATAAGCTTTTCAACCTTAGGGTGAAACTCTCGTTCACCGTCGTGCACGTCCGACAAAGACGTCGTGCTGGGGCTGCTGCCTGCCGGGAATAACTTGGGCCCCAAACAGCTGTTCTTCACAGTCTGGGCCCACACAGGAGATCTGACTGGCCACGCAATGGGGCTCCGGCTGAAGAACCACCGCCCAGAGAAGTCGCAGTAAACAACAGACCTGTCCGCACCACGAAAAGACAGCGGAATCCAAGGGACTAAATCCTAGACCGGGCACCCCAGGTCGACCTTTGTAAGGCAGAGCAGAGCGCCTGGACCCAATCACCCGAGGTGGCCCCATCCTCACGAGAGCTCCGGCCCAGCGGGAGTGGGGTGCACGTCGGATGTGTCTGGGGGTGTTTTGCGGTGACCCAGCCCCTCCCCACACTGCCTGTGCCATCTGAGGAGCCTGGGACTCTGGTCCAGAAAGAAGCCGAAGGGCCCGGGCCCTACTCGCCTGGGTGACGAAAGCTGACAGGTCCAGCCTTCCGACCACCAGCACCTGTGTGCCCCTGGAGATTCTCGGAAAGCCTCCAAACTGACCGGCGTCGGCACTGCAGCCCGCCCGCCACTCAGGGTGCAGGGGGCACCTCCGGGCAGACGACGGGACCTCACTGCTGCCCCCAGCCTCCCTCTCTTTCCTTTAAGGACAGGCTGAGGTCCCTCGACTGGCCACCATCTGGTCAGCATCAAGGACAGTCCCTGGCTACACGACAGCATACCCAGACTGACCCTGGGCAGTGATAGCATAGGGACGATGCCAAGGAAATCGCTAGAAATGCGACACTACGAAACCATGAGCAGGCGACGTGAGGAGAGATCCTGGGACCTAAGCTCACTCTGATTTCTGCATCCCGTGAGCTGCGGTGGCTCCTGAGATGCTCTGTCCTACTGTGATCAGTGATGTCAACATGGAATAGCGTCACGATCGTGCCTGTCAGCACCCAAGTGGCGGGAACATGCAGGCCGAGCGGGTGCTGCGGGAGGGACAGGCTCCACCGGGGTGCGCCACGGGGGAGGACATGTGGGTGGGGATGGGGGGGCAGGTCCCTGCCAGTCAAAGCTGGCGGTGGGTATGGCGTTCAGTTAGCATCCCTCAATGCTCCCCCACGTGGGAGCGCCCGCGTTTCACACTAAAAGTGGTTTCAGAACAAGCACTTGGGTCTCCCCGTCCAGGAACGCAGCAACTCAGCCCACCTTCCTTGCTGAGGAGCAAGGTGCTCCGGCACCGAGGGCCCAGAGCTGCAGGGCGCATCAAACCCCTGCCCGCCTGGCCCAGCCGGGGAGTGGGCTGGGGGCCCGGTGGGTGTGGCACATACCATCAGCCGTGGCGGGCGTGAGCGGGAGGAACTCGGCGGACGTGGGGCTGCTCAGGGACACACGGGCTCCTGAGAGGTCGATCTTGGTGCTGCGACAGGTGTTGGAACAGACCTTGTCGTGTTGGTAGAAGTCCAGCTCCCCGGAGTCCATGATCTTCCTGTGTGGCAAGGACGGGGGCGTCACGTGCGCACGGCCACGGCCTCTGTGTGCACAACTGGACCCAGAAACGCCCCGCTCGCCCCCAGTAGCACATCCTCAGGCCCCCAGAGGGAGGCTGGGAGGGAGGCCTGAGCTCCCAGGAGGGGTGACGGAGGCTGTGTCCCCAGGAGGCTCCAGACAGGCCTCTCCAACGGCCCGGCACAGGCTGTCTCAGACCCTGTGGGGACACCTCAGTAGGCGTGCGGCTCTGCCTGTGGGAAGCCAGGCCGCAGCCACCGGTGCAGGAGGGAGCGACGAGGCCCCGGGGGCAGATCCTGCTAACAAAGGCGTCAGAGGCAGCACACACCCAGAGACAGAGGCGACAAACCCGCCAGGAGGCCTGCACCTCTGCCTTCCCACCGCAAACGCCACCGGGAAGGGCTCAGAAGGCTCCACGCGTCCCCGCCTCCCTGGCTGGCCTCTCCCAGAGGAATGGCCTGTTGCCTTCCCACAGCTGTGCCACCTGGACACTTTCTAAATCTGAGGGCCCCGTTCATGGGCAGGTGTAGGGAGGAGCCGCGGGCACTGCGGGAGGGGACCGCCTACTCCCGAGGGAAGGCGGACGGCTGCCGGCTGGCGCCTGGCCCTGGGCGGCTGCCTCAGACCCAGGTGCTGGCCCACGAGGAGACTGAGCGGGGCTGTAGGGAGGCTCCAGGTGAGGGTGTTATCCTGGCAGCCGCAGGCACCCAAGGGTAGCAGGAGCTGCTGCTCCCCAGAAAGGGCGTGGAAGAGAGCGGCCCGCCTGCAGCGGAGCGCCTGACCCTGCTCACGGTCTCCGGAGGACAGCGGCAGGGGCACGGGGGGAGCATGCAGGGGGCGGGAGTGGCCCAAGGGGGGAGCCCCCACCAAATCAGGAGGGGCAGTCACCAGCAAAGCTGGAACATCACACATTCCTCAGCAGGGGCATCACACTTCCTGCTTCACAGGTGATGGGGGTCAGAGGCCCTCTGTGACAGGCCACCCCCGGAATGCCCAAGCAGCGGGCACTGGTCCCCATGCACAGCAGTGAGAGGCCGCCTGTAGCCAGCTTCCCGGGATCCTGGATCTGCCACCTGGGCGTCCGCAGCTCCCACACGGTCCAGTCAGAGTTGGCAGGGAAGGAGGTCTGAGAACAGAGCGGGCCCTTCACCAAGAACCTGGCACTGACGAGGGCCAGTGGCGGGCGTGGGCCCTGCACAGCCGAGCCTAATCACAGACGAGACAGGCCAGGGTCCAGGCCGAGACTGCTGGAAACTCAGCGGAACGCTAAGCCGAGGAGACGGGACCCTCGCCATGAGACCAGCCATGCCACAGAGGCCAGTGTCCGGGCAGCTGGCCAGATGGACACGCGCTGCGGGCCAAAAGAAGTGGGCTCTTGACCCACACGCCTGGGCCTGGGGACGGTGGTGGGAGGTGCGGGTGCACGCCCGGGGGCAGGACACTGCCCACGGTGACTTGGGGGCTCTGCCGTGAGGGCACAGTGAGGTGGCCGGAGGCTGCACCAGCAGTGGGGCCCAAGAGCAGCCTGGCCGCCTGTCTGCTGTGCACACTGCACCCCACCATCACCATCTCACTGTGACTATCGCAAGTGCCTCCTGCTGAGAACTGGTGAAAATCGAAACGAGACAACAGAAGCTCCTACACTCGGGGGGGGCGGGCGGCACACGATGGCAGGGGTGTGGGCAGTGCAGCCTGCGATGGTGGCAGCTCCCCCCATGTTCCAACGTGCCTCCTCTCCAAGACCTCACCTGTGCAGCCCTGCCCGCCGCCGACGCCCACCTGAGCATGATGCCGTTCATGCGGATGGCCCTCTTCCAGTCCTTCAGGGTGGACTTGCCGGCCAGGTGCACGAACTCCTTTGGGCTGATGACGTGCTGGTCGTACTGCAGGAAGCACAGCGGGCTGGGTCAGGACGCAGACGCCCATAGCCTCTGCGCCCACCTGAACTTTGTCCGAGCCCACCCGGGAAGGGGCGCAGGACAGCGGGGCACCTGCATGGTGCCGCGGGCTCGCTCCCAATTCGACACCTAGGCTTCAGCCAGCAGATCTGGTAGAAGAGGGAATGCCCTCCTGCACCGGGGCCGGGGGGCAGGGGGGAAGCTGGCTTCTGGTGTCAGCAGCAGGTGGCCAGCACTGCCCCCGAGGCCAGGGAGGGAGCTGAGCAGGCAGCTGTCCCTCCAGGCACACGCCCAGGGCCCAGGGAGAACGAGGGGACCCCACCACTCAGAAGGATGTGGCACTCTCTCAAGTGGAACTCGGCAGATGTTAGGTGTGACTTCCTCCACAGCACGTTACAGAAAAATAACACAAGATGTGGCACGGAGGATCTGAGTGTCCCCTTTGCCACCCGTCCCACTCCTAACGCCAGCCTTCGGTGCAGGAGCGCTCGGCAAATGTCATTTCCAAGTCAGGGACCGGCCCTCTGTGCTCAGAGGTTCTCCACTGCCGGAGCTCAGATGGCCTGAGAAGGGGATGAGGCCTATTCCGTCTTCATAGACCAGCAGTTATTGGAACCAAAGAACCAAAGGAAACTGCGTTTGCCCAGAAATCGCTGCGTGAGCCCGCGATTCGGCAGAGACAGAGGGAAGCATCCCCGGGGGCCTGCATGGCCATGGGCCCCCACTCCCTGCCATCACTGTCGGGTCTAACGGGCACCTCGGGCCTGTGCCTGTCGGATGTGGTCGGCCGTGGCACACACAACCTGGGGACTCCTGAGGGTGGCAGCACTGTCCCTAACTCCCGGAGCACGTACCTTCTTCTCCCTGAGTCCGAGGGCTGAGGGGGTCACAGCCCGGCAGGCGGAGTCAGAGCCTCTCCGCCGCCTACCAGCAGGAAGTTGTCGGCGGGCCTGCCTCTGCCTCTGCGCCCTCGGATCTGCACACCTGACCCGCCCCGGCCGCCACCTGACAGTCCGCCCTCCCCGAGTGCTGTCATCCCTGCTTCTTGCCTTCACCTGGTTGCTCTCCCCATGCCCGATTCCCTTCTCCCAGCCAGGAAGCTGCATCTACCCTTACGGGGGACGCCGCGTGCCCGGGGCTGAGTCCAGAGCTGTGTGGTCTCACTCGGACCTCTCCCAGCCATGCAGCCACGCACCTGACCCTTTCCAGAATCTCGCTGAGACGTGACATTGTCACATTCCTCTTACGGGGGACGCCGCGTGCCCGGGGCTGAGTCCAGAGCTGTGTGGTCTCACTCGGACCTCTCCCAGCCATGCAGCCACGCACCTGACCCCTTTCCAGATCTCGCTGAGACGTGACATTGTCACATTCCTCCTTCCTCTACTCTTTACGCCTTCCTCCACCTAGACTCCTGCCCGGATCGCCTTCTCTCTCTGCCTGAAACACTGCTCTCACGATATCCCTCAGGATGACTTACTGGTGGCAAACGCAGTTGTGTCTGAAAACGTCTTCACGTCTCCCCAGTTTTCAAAGCTGACCTCCCGTCGCAGGTGTTCCCGCACAAGACACAGACCCGGGGGCCACAGGGCACCGCTGCCGGTCCCCACCCCAGTCGCTGGCCGCTCCCGGTTACTCGCAGGATCTTTCCCCCCACTCTGCTCATCTGTGGTGTCACCTATGATAAACCCTGTGTCTCTGGGTTCTGCTAGCATTTCAAACCTACAGGACAAGTGCAAGAACAGCACAAAGTGCTCGACGCCCCCGGCGCCCACGTCCGGCCCTCGCGTCCTCCACTGTGAGCCCGCACCTATCCCTCGCTGAGCTGTTGAGGCGAAGTGCGGGCGTCAGGCCCTGGCCCTCAGCACGGCAGGTCCTTGAATAACGTCCTCACTGTGGCACTGACGGGAACTTGGCCCCCGTGAGGGCCGCTGTCTGTGCGGAGCCTGCATTTCTCCCGCGTCCGTGGGTTCCCTCCGCCCACCACGGATGTGCATGTTCAGTGAATCGGCGTGTAGGTGGCCCCACAGTGGACAGACGTCCTGTCCAGGGTGGGTCGCCCTGCGCCCTGAGCTGCCAGGATGGGCTCTGGCCACACATGACCCAGAACCTGGTCAGCAGGTAAGAAAACAGTGATCTGACTTGTTTCCCCAACGTGTGTAGTGCTCACCGGGGCCCAGCGTCTGCATCAGAAGCGTCTGTGTCTTAGGAAGTCAGTGGTGTCTGGTGACCAGAAACGCACCACAGGAAGTGAGCCCCCGTTCAAGGCAATCAGCATCGTGCGCCGCTTCCCTGAGCCACAGTCCCCAGCCCGCTGTTGCCGAGGCTACGGGTGGACTCTCTGCGCTTCCTCCCTGTCTCCTGAGAACAAGTTTCTCTTACGTGCCCACGACGACTCCCGACAACCAGAAACGATCCACGTGTTGTCTGACCCGGAGGCAACACTCAGGCTCCCGTGTCAATGACCGTGTTCCCAGATACGGACGTAGCCCAAATGGTGCTGCGCCCGCCGTCCGTCCCCACGCCCTGGAACCAGACCAGCTCTAGCCACCCGTCGTCCTAAGCCCAACGTTTCTGGCCAATTCTGCTGTGGACCGTCCCTCAGAGTTTGCTGTTTCCTCTCGAGGACGACTGGGACGCCTCCCATGTGATCAGGAGACGGTGACGGCCCGTGCCGACACTGCCGCCCAAGCGTGGCCGTCCACCCACTTCCCACTGCGCTCCCTGGTTTCCTCGTGATCACCAGGGGACGCGGGGACTAGGCGGGCACCGGGCCCGTCGCTCCGTGTCTGCGCACCAGCTTTCTCACGCGGGAGCTACAGGTGGAAGCGACACAAACGTGCCGCCGTGACGTGGCCTCGCAGACCCTGTCCCACGTGAGTCCCAACCCAGACGGCCGCTCAGCATCTGACGTCTGGCTGTCCCTTCTGTCCCTTCTGGAGCGGCGGAAGGCCCGGGGCTTCCGGGGTGCGGCGGTCTGGGCGCAGGCTGGGCCCCCAGGCCTGGGCCGCCTCTCCTCCGCCACGGAAGCCCCGGCGCCAGGCTCTCGCGGTCGGAACACACACCTCGCGGCGCTCCCGTTTTGCCTCTGTCTGGGGTCCTCTCCTGGACTATTTCTCTGCCTCCATCTCCCCACCCGCTAACCCTTCCTCCCCGGTGCCGAACGTGTGAAGCCTGTCCGCTAACCGTTCAATTTTAATCGTTTTTTCATTTGTAGCTTGTTTTTTCTAAATCTGCTTATGCTTTACTCACATTCGATCCTCTTTTTTACTTCTTGCAGTAAATTAAAGACAATGATTTTACACTCTGCGGCTCCGAGTGCCCCGGCCTGAGGCAGCCGGGTCTGTCTGTGCTGTCGGTCTGTGTGCGCACACTCAGGTGCTTTGCATCCTTGCGTGCTCAGGGGTCTGTTTTGCCATGAACTGCTTCCACTTGGGGACTCTGCAGAGATTATCTGAACCTCCGACAAGAGCTTTTTGTCTGCCTGTCAGACTCTTCGGGGCCACCATCCAGCCACCACCTATAGCTAAGCTCTCGGCTTAAGGTTCAGGCCGCACAGGCCACACGGAACCCTTCGAGAGGCCCCCTGAACTGCGTGCTAAGCTGTAGGCGTGAGTTCCTCGTCTGGGGGCAGAGCGGGGCTGGGAGCAGCGTGACTGGTGGTTCACCCGAACACCAGGGGAAGAGAACTTCCCACCCACTTCCCACTGCGCTCCCTGAGCAACAGCGTTCCCGGGGACAGTCCCTGCTCCCGACACAGCTCAGGGGCAGCTTGGGCTTCACCTCAACCTCAGCCCACAAGGCGGGGAAACCTGGCATCGGACCAAGGCTGTGCCAGCAAACCCCTCCAGACGCCACCTGCACTTGGGCTCTGGGCCTATTTCTTCCTTTTCACCAGCTTAAGAAGCATCTGGAAGATGCTTTATGAAATACTTTCACCGGCATTTGGGGCTGTTTTTGGCACAAGATGAATCTGACCTACCACGTTGCTGTTCACCTCGCTCCAGGCGGCTGACCGCGTCTTCCCAAAGCAAACCTCTCACCCAGCTTCCCGCCCAGCGGTCACCGTCCGTGACGTGAGCAGAGCTCTCGCCCAGCCTCGCCCACAGCGACAGCCCTGTCCGGCCTTGGAGGCCCCTTCTCTGCTCTCCCGAGTGCACGGTTCCTGCCGGCTGACTGCAGGGCGGGCAGCCAGCCCATGAGGCGCCCCGCAGCCCTGCACGTGGCGCCCGGCCCTCACCTGAACACACTTCACGTTGATGCCGGGGCACACGAACTTCCTCCAGATCAGGTTGGCTCTGCTGTCTCCGCAGGTGATGGGGTACACGATCTCGGCCTCCAGGTTCTCCTCCTCTTCAGCCATCTTCACTTCTCACAGGCGTATTGGCAGGAGAAGGGTTAAAACAGAAAATCAGTGACGACCTCTCCAGAGCACTTCCCGCGAGAGCCCGAAGGACCACCGGCCTGGACGCTGGGATTAAGGGCCAGGTAGGACCAAGACGGGACCAAGGCGAGCAGCGAGCCGCAGCGCGGCCAGTCAGAGTCCAGGGGACCCCCACGACCAGTCTAACGGAGTGACACCGGCATGATTACGTGACACTGGGGGTCGACTTAAGGACATAAACTCCAACTTTACTTGGAATAACCGGAGCAGCTCATTCGTAACGTTCTGAAGAATTCTGAGACCTTTAACGTGAAGGGTCACACAGAATTTTCACCACCATCCACTGACAGTCGTGGTATGTCGGGCTGTAAAACTGGGGCTCCACTCCCCGCCCCCCACCATAGGCGTGGCTGGGCCGCTACACCCGCCCAGGAGGATCCCGGAGCCTGACCCCGCCGCTGGGCCACGGGCGTCTCCAGATCAGAAGGCAGTCCCCTTGGGCCAAGCGCACGTGGAGCCGCCGGTGGGCGCCCTACCTAGCACGGCCTCCTTGAGCTGCGAGGACGCTGTGAAGGCAGCAGCCGCAGCG